ACAGTTTTGTTCTTTGGCCAGCGTGAATGTGGGCAGTGGTTGAGAGAGAGAGAGAGAGAGAGAGAGAGAGAGAGAGAGAGAGAGAGACGTACGGATTTGATTGTAAATTCGGTGCATGATGTCATATCTTGTCTTATAAATTACCGGGCGGGTGGCAGGTGTTGGTGATGTCAGGCCAGCATTTATAGAGGCCGTTTCGGTTTTTTTTTTGTTTATATAAAGGTCTGCCTTTTATTACCTTGGCAAGGTAGAGGTTTTAGATGTTCAAAGTGATAGGGAACCGCTCTTTACAGCTTCTATTTTTTGTGCGTAGTGTAAACGAATCATGATTTACCCGAAGCTGCTTGCCTGGCACTGACGCAGGTAGGAACAAAGTAGCCTAGAAACAAGTGTGAAGAGGAGAGGAGGGAGAGAAAGAGAGATAGAGGCCAGGTAGGCGAAGGGAACAAACACCGCTGCACGACGGCTAATACGTGTGTTCCTCCCTCGTGTGTTCCTCCCTCCAAGGTTGGCCACGATGCCGTTTTACACTTACCTCTCATTTTTATCGGGGAAACCACCGCCTTTAGCTCGCCCTTCGCCCAGACACCCGCTCCACCTAGCTGTCGCGAGGGCGTTACAAGGTGGGAGAGAAAGAGGAGGAGGCGGAGGTGTGGGAATAAATAATTGAACGGGAGTGGGGAAGCATGCGTTGGGTTTAAATATTTCGCGTGTGTTGGCCACGGCGAGCGGCGGCGGCCAGCACAGGTCCCCCGTTTCGCTTTGTTTACAACGTGTGCTGCCGGGGTCGAGGGCGCTCTTCTCTTACACCCTGGCGACGGAAGGGTATCTCTTTTTCCCGGCGGGTGATTCGGAGACGGTCTAATTCTATCGGAATGCAACGGGATTTCATTCGATTGGCCGAGCTGATGGGGAATTCTTCGTGAAAGCGGAAGGAAATTCACCCTTTGGCGCAGAATTGGGTGGCAGTGAGATACAGGACGGCGCTGCCTGGCGTACGTCGGGTCCTTCGGTGTAGGTAAAAGTACTTGCATTCAGTCGAAATTGCAAGGCAGAAGGTCGTTTATTGTGTAAAACTTCGTGTCGAACAACGGAAACGGGGATAGGCAAGTTACTGCGGTATGCGGGGTTGGAAATTTCAACAACGAATGTGAAGGAAATGAGGGAAGAGGGAAGGGGTCTTTGGGAATGAGGATGTGGGGGAGGTGGGGGTGGGGGTTCACCTCAGTCATGCGCTCTGAATGAGTTTTGGGGAATATATTTTACCGCGAAACTGACCTTGTTGACTCAGTGGTCGAATGGTGGTCAGTGTATGGGAATGCGAGGTCGTGTGAGGCGGGTGCGACACCGAGGTACGTGTTGTCGGTGCATGAATTCCTAAATGCCTGAATATTGGGTATTTGCGTTTCCATGAGGTGTCGAAATGCGCTGCAAGGGCGATTTTGTTTGTCATGCCACAGCTGTTCAGTTTTGTGTGTTTTTGTTTTGTTTTTTTGTGGTGTTTATTTGCATGTTTTTGTTGCGTGTGAGAGATGTGTATGCATTCGCCCAGATGAACATGGTGTCGCGTGTGTAGCATGTACGATGAAGTCTTGCACAAGCATACGTATGCGACACACACACACACACACACACACACACACACACCACACACACACACACACACACACACACACACACACACACACACAACACACACACACACACACACCACTCAGACGCTCTTCGCCTTACACATGCGCGTCACCCACGGCCGGCGATCAGAGGTCCAACATACACATAGGTTAATTAACATCACTTTTACTTTTCAATACTGTGTCGGCCTACTTTGAACCCCCCCTCCCCCTCCCCCCTCCCCCCCCCCCCCCCCTGACAGCCCGCATCTTGGAGTTAGGGTTGAGATGCCACGTTCTCGATGCTGAACATGTTTTGTGCAATATATATTTTTTTTTATATGCCTGATCTATGCGGGTGTGATATCCCCCCCCACCCTCCTCCTCTCCTCCCTCCTCCTCCTCCTCCTCCTAGCCCAAGACCTCCCTCCTTACCCTCCCCCCCTACCCACGGACCCCAGCCTTCAGAACGCCTTTCCCTGTGACCCACTTGGGTGTGTAGCCTCTCTCTTTCTCTTTTTCTCTCTCTTTCTCTTCTCTTCTTTCTTTCTCTCTCTCTCTCCCTCCTCTCTCTCTCTCTCTCTCTCTCTCTCTCTCTCTCTCTCTCTCTCTCTCTCTCTCTCTCTCTCTCTCTCTCCTCTCCTCTCTCCTCTCTCTCTCTCTCTCTCTGTGAACCATCCATTCCCCCCACTTTTTCCATCTCTCCCGGTAATAGATGCAATATATTTTTATCGTCCTTTTTCCTTCATGCTTCCTGTCTTCATCCTCTCAATCTATGTATCCGTCTATCTATTTATCTGTCTATCTGCCTCTGTCTTTATTTTCTCTCTCTATCTGCCTCTGTCTATCTATTTAATATATATTACTCTGTCTCTTGTCTATCTGTTTATTTGTCATCATTCTCACTCGCCCCCCCTCTCTCTGCTCTCTCCCTCTCTCTCTCTCTCTCTCTCTTCTCTTCTCTCTCTCCTCTCTCTCTCTCTCTCCTCTCTCTCCTCTCCTCTCTCTCTTCTCTCTCTCTCTCTCTCTCTCTCCTATCTCTATCTCTCTATCATCTAATCTATCCATCCATCTCTATCCTCTATCTCTACTTCTCTCCTCTCTCTCGTTTTCCCCTCTCTCTCTCTCTCTCTCCTATCTCTCTCTCTCTTTTTCTTCCTCCCTCCCTGCCCTCCCTCTCTCTCCTATCCCTCACCTCTTTCACCATCGCACTCTCTCTTATCCCCTCGTACAAGCATATAAATACCCTCATAAAATAAATCACCCTCATAAACATACATATACATCATCCCCCCAAAAAAATGTTTACCCTCACAAACGTTTAATCACCCCAATGAACATTTCGTTACCTTCGCAAACGTTCACCCCGTAGACAGCTGATCACCCCAGCAAACATTTATTCACCTCCGACAAACATTTGTTCTCCCTTGAAGCAATTAATAACCCCTGTCACCTTCACAAACATTCACCCACGCAAACACATCACCCACACAAATATCTAATCACCCTCCACACATTTCTAATCACCAAAACATTTAATCCCCCCAATCACCCTCACACATATCTAACACCCACAAATCACCCAGTCACCCTCACACATATCTTATCATCCCCACAAACATTTAACCCACCTCTCACATATCTAATCACCCCCAACAAGCATTTAACCCCCTCAATCACCCTCACACATATCATCACCCCCACAAGCATTTAACCCCCCCTCCCTCACAGACACTTGTAATTTCTCTAATAACACCAAGCTCAAGTTGGGAGGCGTTGTACATCAGCTGGCCGGGAACAGCCGCAGAGGCCAGCCAGGGAGACGAGAGGTGAGGTGAGACGGAGGAGGATCCAAGGGGTACAGGTACTTTATTTATAGTAGCCATGCACTGGGTTCTGGGTTTCGGTGCAAGTGACAAAGGGAGCGGAGGGAGGGAGATGAGAGGAGAGGGAGGGAGGGAGGAGGGGGGGGAGAGGGAGGTGGGAGGGAGGGAGGGGGAGGGAAAGAAGGGGGAGAAGGGGGATGGAAGAGGGAAAGAGGGGGGTTGAGAGGGAGGAGGGAGGAAAGAAGGGGGGAGGGGGGAGGGGATGGAAGAAGGAAGAAGGAAAGAAGAGGGAAAGAGGGGAAGGAGGAGAGGGAGAAAGAAAGGAGAGAGGGGGGGAGGGAAGAAATGAAGAAATCGAAGCGAGAGAGAAAAAGGCGATGGAAGCGAGAGAAGGTTGCAGTCTGGGGAGTGGGCTGGCGAGGCGGATGGGAAAGAGGGAGGGTTGGGGTCCAGCTAAGGCAAGGCTCTCCCGTCCCCCCCCCGTCCTCTCTCGTTCCTTCTCCTCTCTGGCTGCTGGTTCGTCGCTCTCTCTCTCTGCTCTCTCCCTCTCTCTCTCTCCTCTCTCTACTTCTCGCTCTCCCTCCGGCCCCTCCCTCCCTTCCCTGTCCGCTCCCTCCCTGCCTCCTCCTCCCTCCCCCCTCCCTCTCTCTCTCTCCCCTTCCTCCTCTCTTCCCCCTCCCTCCCCTCTCTCTTCTCCCCCCCTCCCCCTCCCTCTCTCCTCCCCCTCCGCCCTCTCTCGCGTCCCCCTCCCTCCCTCTCTCTCATCTCTTCTCCCCTCCCTCCCTCTCTCTCTCTCTCTCTCTCTCTCTCTGCTCCCTCCCTCCTCCCTCCCCTTCCCTCCCCTCTCTCTCCCCTCCCTCC